TATTCAGACATAACGCAGAACTTCAAACCATGCTCTGTAATGTACTGAATTACCAAAGAACAAGCGATCAGATGACAAGGTGCTTCACGTTATTCAAGTTGACCCTTCTAAAAATAAAGTTAGTGTTAGTTCATAAATCCACTACAGATTCACTGATCTTTAATCCTGCAACGAACAGAGTGCCCCATAAGCAAATAAAGAGCTGGGCGTTCTGCTCTTCATAAGTCTGCTTCTGAGGAGTTTTTGCCTGCAAAAATAGTATCCCGTCTTATCATTCAAATTCTTTGTGAGCCAAAGCACTAAGTATAAAGAACGTTTCATCAAGTCTTCTATTTTCAATAGTAAATTCCTCGTAACAATGGCAGCCTACTTGGATTCTCATACGTGACTTCTGCAAAGCAGCACCGAATGCATTCCAAACACCTAACGGCATAACCTGGTTATGGAATTACTGTAGGATACCCTGATCTCCAGGAGTACAGAGACCTGGACCACGATGGGCAGTCACAGAGATGCATGGAGTATTGTTTCCTTTATCAAATATGCGGAGGAGGAACTTTACTCTGCCCCGGCTTCTTGCAGATTCTTGGTGAGCAAGACAAGCCCTCACCTGCAGTCAAGTGATGGGACAACAGCTGCTTAGAACTCATTTCTTTCCTGCGCTGCTTGTTGGGCTATAGAGTAGCTAGTGAAAGGGTGCACAGCGAAGAACAATTCTTTAATTCATGTAAAGATACTCTTTCTTCCTTGCATATTATTTTTCCAGTACCTGAAAGACCCATGATTTAAAAAAAAGCCAGAAAAAGCACGCTTGTTTTACTAGTTCAAAGACCAGCGTTTCTCTGTAGGGTGGTATTTTCTGTGATTAAGACATCTCCTAGTGATTTTTGATCAGTCTAGGAAAAATCCTTCAACTGCAATGCATTGCCTCCTGGCCTTCCAACAACTGTTGTTCTTCTCCCACCCCATGCCCCTCTTCTTCCAGCCACCACCTAGTTAAAGGATCTTTCAAAACATCATTAAAAATAATATGTACGCAGACACAGTTACATACACACATACCCTCCTGCAAGATGGGAACTAACATAAACCCAGCTAATCCACATAAAACCAGTTCTACAACATGCGACTGATGGTTTAAACTCACTGGGAATAAACGTCATCCCTTTGGAGATGCCCTAGCCCTTGTAGCATAATTAGTGAGGTGGGTGGTGTTCCCCCTCCCTTTATTTGGACACAGATTAGCATTTATAATAAAACATATCTCAAGCAGGATGGTAGAAGGTTAGAAAAAAAAGGTACAGAAAAACCAGCATATCTCCATCCAGGTGGCTATAATACTATGTAGACTCCAAATCCTACTGTAGCCAGGTAGATAAAAAGCAGCAAAGCAACAAACTCAAAAAGGAGTGGTGTGGTAAAGACCAACCATTCGCTTGGGAATGTAGGGGTGGAGAAATCAGGTTATTTCTGCTGGTCAGCTGTTCAGGTCTTGTCTACATTAATCTCTTGTCATAGTAATTCATCTGCCAGAAAGCAAAGAACTACGTGCTTTTAAAAAATGTCCCAGTGTTTTTTCTCCCTTTTTTTTTTTTTTTTAATAAAGAGCAAAGGAGGCACATTAGAAAGATTTTTTAATTTATTCCTAATATTTCCATGTAAATTCTGTCCCTATACTTGTGTATCTCAAAACAGACAGTGGAGAAAAGTTGCTTCATGCTGAATCCCTGTTTACAAAGATGTTTGCAAATGTGTGCAATACATTCTCAACATTCCCTTTGTTGCCACTGAAGCACAATATTGATGATGGGTGTAAAAAAAAAAAATCACAGTTATTTAGACAATTCTGGGTTTTCACTGATGTATTTCTACCCCGTGGAAGAACAGAACTAAGCTGATTTCTCTTACCATTGCTCACATCCTTACTTCAACACAATTTTTGATACAGCAGTTATTACAGGAAAAAAATAAATTGCAAATCAGTCTTCAGTGTTTCCTTAAAATCCTTTGGTGCATTTAGAACAAATGCATTTCATTTTCTCAATTTGTTATAGAAACTCTGGGTTGGTTTTAAAAAACATCCTGGGAAATTCAACTCTATTTCAATGGCAGCATCAGAAACACACATTCAAACTGCTGGTAACTCGCATAAAGTTTGTTGACATATGGTGCCACCTAGCTAGAAGATTTTATGCATGGCATGTATTACAGATTTAAATGTGTTGCCAGAAACATACAGTCCTCCTCCAAATGAGCTAAAGATGAAATGTCTACCAGATAAACTTCAAAAAGCATCCCTTTCTAGCGTATCTGGGATTACAGTTAAACAGAGGTAGGTATATGTTAAATAAAACCACAGTTCCAGAGTAAACTATTTCAAATTCTTAATGTTTATATGGGACTGTAAGATTACAGATGATTACTGATTATTTCAAAGCTTTTCAATGTATTTTCATATGAATTCACAACCTGCATAGCCAAGAGCAAATGAGACATGGCTTCGGAATTTTTTCCCCTTCACGTAAGTAGCAACAGGACTGGCAGAATTGCTTCCTAAATCTTTTCTTGAAGTAAACCAGAATCATTTGGAAAATGCAACAGCCAGCGTACCACCGGCACAAGGACAGGCACATACACAAACAGGCGCAAGGAATGGCAGCAAGAGATTCTCTTTCAGCTTGAGAATCAGTAAAAATGCACTGTTACAAACAAGCCAAGCTGGAAGAAGTCACTTCAACCACTTATTTTAAATAACTTCAGGAATCTCTCTTTTTTTTTTTTTTTTTTTTTTTTTTTACCAGAGGCTGCAAACTCAGAGTCCAACTCTTTCTATAAAATATAGGAGAATGAGATTTCTCAAAGAAAACTGAAAGCTTTTCTTGAGGCATTTAGTGCGCCCAGTCATGTATATCAGTAAACAGGTTACAAGTCAACGTCTGCCATTTATGGGAAGACACCAGAGCATGCAAGCAAAAAACATTGACATTTGCTTCTGGGAAGAAGCTTCTTCTTAAAAGCATTTTTTTTTTCCTGGAGAATGTAGGCAGTAGGCCTATTAAAAGGACTGTCTAGCCTCCTTAGGACTGCAGTTAGAGATTGCTGTACATACCTGACATTGCTTAAGGGTCTGATAGACTGAATAAATAAGCAAACCTTCCCCAGGCACAAAGCGTTTCCTGGTATGTAATGATACAAAGAATATACAGCCTTTTATACATCTAGCCCATGGAGCCCATAAAGGCTGATTTACCAAATTTCAGAAAGTTTGAATGCTTTCTGTCTGAAACCCAAGATGAAGATATCAAATAAAACACTGCACGTTATTTCAGTTTTCGATAGTATACACAGAAGTTTGAGCAAAACCCAAACCAAACCAGCACATTCTTCTAGGGGAATATTTTAAACATTCTACTGTGGAATTTTATTGAAGAGCTAAGGTAGGCAATTCAACAGTAAGTGTTTCAATAAAGATTTCCTCACTAACTGTAACCATTACCTGGAGTGCTTTACAGGAATCAACCCAATCCTTTAAGGTTGGCACAGGTTACTTCCAGTAGTGTTAACTGAGAAGGTTTGGCATTTCTTTGGGGTAAGTACGGTGTCTGAATAGTAACCAAAATGTAAACCTGAACCTCCATTACTACACAAAATCTATGATACAGTAGTGTTTATATTTAATTTGACTCTCCAAAAGCATCCCAGAAGTTGTTTTATAGCAAATGTCTGGTCCAAGTTAAAAAAAAAATCCTTCCCCACAGAATTACACATTTACATTTACTATATACTCAGAAGTAATCATCACCCCTCAGTAATTCGGGTGATGAGTATCTTGGCTCTAACACATCCTCTGCCAGTTCTCCTCCTGCCCATTCTAGCTGTGCCATCCCAACTTTTGACCAACACAATGTATGCACTCTGTAAAAAAAAAAAATTAAAAAAAAAAAAATCAAAGAGCTTGCAGACTAATGATTAAAAATACACTCCAACATTTAAAGGTGTAACAGATAAAGAGCACCATTAGCCAGCAAACTTTCTACTTGACCAAAGCTATTCACCTCAGGATGAATTGCAAGAACAAGATACTTCTATCAAAGAAGGCTGACATAGGTAAGATACTTACCTGATTTATCAAAGTATCTTATCAAAATCTGTTTCTGCTCAGTATTAAGGCAAGACACAAGAACGATATACTGGCAGTGTGGGGGCTATGCTGCAGATTTTCGTTCCGAGAGAAGCATCGGTGTCAGATCCTTCGCAGTTGAGACAGCTTGTAATTATAAAGGCTGTGCTATCAAACCATCTTTGCCAGGCGATGCTGATTTCAGGAGCTCCTGTTTCCTGATCCTCACTCTTCACTTCCAGCCTTTAGGTGGGCCACTACTCCCTTAATTGTTTCTCAGAACTGACTGACTGGGGGGGAAGCAAAGAATGTTTGAAACTCCAAAGTTTTTGATCCAGGTCAGGTGGAAGTCCCACAAATGACTTGTGGCAACAGAAAGAGCAGGCAACTAGCGCACAGAGGGGAAAAGGCAGCCGCCAGTATCATAGCTGACTGAACGTAGAATTACATGTCACAGCCAAACAGAAAACACATATCCCTAAGGAGTGGGATCGGGGAGGGGCTGGGAAGAGGCAACTCGGAGGGGGAGAAAAATAGTCCAGACCAAATACTAGTTTGAGTGAACAGAGATTCCTATTTAGACTTTATCATCAGTTATCTGACAGACTTCCTTGTTGGTTCCTAGAAATTCACAATTAATTTTGCTCACGGCTACATGTGGCACGATGAAATTTATCTTTTGAAGCAGCACAAAAATTCAGACCAACAACTCCTAATATTTCAGACTTAGTAAAGATAAGGAAGCAAATTTTCTCCTGGCAAGAACAAGATATTTGCAAACATCTAAAGTGGTTTTGTATTTTTATTATTATTTACAAAATACTGTAAAATTCATAATATCTGTCCAGCTTGCACATATCAATGGTACAAAAGCCGCCAGTTACATCAGTACTGAATTATAAAAGTTTTGTTTCAAAATTACTGAAAAGCACACCTTATCCAGTATTTTTTTCCATCCAAGTAAATATACAAATCAAATTAAAAAAAATAAGTATTGTATCTTCTTTGTGTTTCAAGACACAAGGGATCACAAAACCATCCAACTTTTTTAGATCCAGGGTAGAATTCTCGTAGTGAGCATTTTAATGCAACTACCAACTATTGTTACTCTCAAATAAGTATTCTCTAGAGTGATTAAAAAGATTTAAAAATATGGGGAAACAGAAACAACTTCTACAGGTTATTAGGGTTAGGAGATGGGAAATATAATGATCACAATTCATGCAGTTGGGTCACTGCTGAAATAAAATATTCCTCCATGAAGGCATTCAAGTTAAGACCTGAACAGGACTGGTAGATAATTCTACTAGAAACACTTAATGACTGCTGCCGTGATACTGGGAAGGTTATCACTTTTTAATTTTTATAAAATACAAGTTTTTCTAGCACATTATTTGTTGTTTTTAAGTCAAGATTCACACACCAGTAGACAATGATCTCCCTCAACAAACAAATCAAAAGCAGGTTTTGGTACATTGCTAACAACATGATGTACTAAATAGGGGTTTTTTGTTGTTTTTGCTTAATCCAGCATATATGATAATACTATACAGGAATCCTCACAGAAAAAGAGGACAAAACTGAGGTTTCTGCCATAGACAAAAACTTTATAAAAACATAATACAATTAAAATACAAAATATATATAGTACATGTCAGATCAGTTAGTAGTGGCATTTGAGGTTTCTGGAGACTGAAGAAATTCATAGGGATCGTGAACCATGTCTTGCTGTTCTCCAACACTCAGATGAGAGGGGCTTCCTGTAGAATACAGGAAAAATAAAATCAAAACCTTTACAAGTACAGAAAAATAATGGAGAGATATTTATATATAGAAACAGCATGATTATTTCACATGTTCCTTTCAGACTTTTAAAGCAAAACAGACATTTAAATGATATTTAAACAGGAGATTTTGGAAAAGAAGTTATGAGGTTCTTCAGTAATTTAGATACTTTTTAAAAAAGCAGTCATTATTCTATTACTCTGAGTTGAAAAATTATACAAAATGTAATTGAGTATCATCCAACCAACATCTCCTACCCTCTCAGAAATAGCACCAAATTGTTAAGGGGTATGTTACCCTATCATCCCGTCTTAGCACTGAATTTTACAGTTGGAAGACTATTGTAGACTCCCACCTGTTAGGTGCTGCATATGCCAAAGTAAAATAAACATTATCTACTCATCAGTATTTCTAACAGCATAAAATTCAAGTGCACATAGGGATTTGCCACTCAGTATCAATTTACTTCGCAATTACTTCAATCATGCCTCATCAAAAAATAAGTAACTACAATTAGTGTCTTAATTCTGCAGGTCAAAAGTATGCCTTCTTAGTTGCCTTTGCCATGCATATTTAAAAATTAAAACATGATCCTGTAGTCAGCACACTGTTTTATCAGAGGAGTTTCATGCAAAGATTTACATAAATCAAAATGTAAGTTTTAACCAGTTTCAATTAGAGCAGAAGTATTGCAACTTCTGTGACACAAGTAACTTTACCAAGATGATGTTGGTCTCTTTCAGAGGTATTGGAAAGGGAACTCAAATTGGATGACGGCCGGGATCCCACTCTGTCAGCCTGAGCTTCATGAAGGTCCTGCAGCAACTTAGTTGTTTCATCCAGATGTAAATGGTTATCATCATGATCAAGCTCCTTCTTCACTTTCCCTAAGGGCCACCAGTTACCAACCAAACCCCATAATTAGCACATGCAGATTGACTCATGAATTACAAAGTCACTATAAAAAAATTCTAAAGTTAACACAAGTGTTGTCTATAACACAAATGATGTCAGCTTTGCACTGTCCTTTGCACTTCTAAAAGGCAACAGTTGCAGATCTGTTTTCAGTTTCAAGAAATACATGTTGAAATGCATTTGGCCGATACTGGACAGTGAAGGAGAATGCCACAAGAAATGGCTGAAACTGAACTGACTCCCAGTATTTAAACAGCTGTAAGAGCTTAATTTGTCTTCCTCATCTGTTAAACTTCAGACATGAAATAATGCATTTAGTTTGCAGCAAAGGAGAGCAAGTCAGTAGAAAGATTACTTAAATATCTAACTTAAAATGCAGTTAAAATAGAAGATGTAATTTATGGAGGTGAAGAAATCCCCATCACAGAAGGTTTTTAGAACAGTATCCTCTCCAGCAACACAGATTTTATAGTAAGCCAAATAAAACTGGAAAGAACTGCCAGTATCTGCCAACATACACTGTTCTTTGATCTGAAGACTTAAAAAAATTTCCCTCAACTTCAAGCTGGCAAATAAACTCTTTCCCTTCTCTTTGGGCTGTCTTCAATGCAGACCTTGCTAACTTTGCAAGAATTATAAGAAATAATGCCATAAACTCTCTCCGGAAGCTATGTTATCTATAAGTATGATTATTTACAGAAAGATCGAAGAAGAAAAATATAAGCAGCTTTCAGTGGAGCAAGAAATTCATAGTAAGATTGATATGGCTAAACATTATCTATAAAATGGATATTTACTAATTTTTTACTGAACTGCAATAAAATTAGTGTGTAACAGCATAATCAGAGCTTACAACTGCTTTTCAAAGAATACTGCACCTATGGGAGAAAAATATAGAAATGTTTTTTTCCTTCTTTAAGCTTTCAATAACCTTGGTTATGTTTTATAATAGACAGTTTGGCATCTTTCACATTCTGAATTACAAGTATCTTAAACCATAAGCACTAATTATTTTTTTGTGTGATGACATTATTTAAGACATTTGACCAGCTCAGCAGCCGGCAGAAATGGGAACATTACTTCCTGTACTATTTAAAGGAGGATACCTATCAAAGACATGTATTTGAAAGTATCCTAATACTTCTATACATCTGCCTTATTTGAAGGTAAAGTCTTTCCAACACCTGAAGTTTCTTCTGCTTTTTGTTTTGGGACATTCCAAGAGGTGATATGATTGAACTTCACATACTTAACTACTTCCCAAGTTATTTCAAAAGACAGCATATGAAGCAGTAACATTTCTGAGACAAAGCTCCATACTGATTCTTAAAATTTGCCTTACTATGAATACATCAAAAACAAGCAAGGCTCTCAAAATTGTGAAGTACAAATACTTTGGTTTCTTCAATGGTACAGGAAAAGTTAGCTTCGCTAGCACATAGACGTCTCAAAGGAAAAACAGACGAAGGTTTCATTTATGTTGTACCAGCCCTAGACTTTAACCCATGTCAAATGTAGACTTATTACTACTTTTTGAACACGTTTTTATTCTTAGCAAATCCAGCTGTTACTTTGCCTAAATGGTACAACTAAACCATAATTGATGTCTTGTATATTTAATTACTTACCTAATGAACTTAACATAGAAATATCAAGAGATACATCAGAATATGGTTTCATAGACAGAAAGTCCAAGTCAGAAGTGTTACTGTCTCCAGCAGATTCTCCAACCTATTAAAATACAAGAAACAAAGACTAGTAATAGTGACAATCTGTCATAATAACTTTTTAATGTTTAAGGTAAACACATGAATCCATACTCTCAGAAGTGTGTACCACAACACTTGAGACTGGAGCATCCATAACCATCTCGGCTAACCTGTGGCTCACAGGCAGCTCAAACATGGTTCCAGGACAGACTGGTCACATGAATAGCAAGGGATCTGCACGGCAGTCTAAGTATCTTTCATCTCATCATCCGGGACTGTTGAAACCAACATTACCGAATCCTCTGGGACTCAATTATATGCTCAACTCATCCCTGTCTCATGGCAGAACTCTGGTGGAGGGAAGCATTATCAGTATTCCCCATCATGAACCACTCCCAGATCCTCTTTTCCCTCACCTTCTCAATGCAACACTGGATTTATTGAAATTTTTAGTATGTGACTAATAAAACCAGTAAGGTGGGCCTCCCCCTACACAGCATCAGCTGGAGCTGGTCTCTCCAGTATTTTTTCTGTAAATTTGGATAATGAAATACAGCCTGCACTACAACAATTTCATTTTTTCCATACCTGTTGCAATACTGCTATCTAATGGCAAAAAATAAGACATCAAAGTAAAAGTCGTTAAGCTTCAAAACACATTCTAACAGAATTCTCTGAGGTTGCCTATTCCAGCAGGAAGAATAAGACATGCAGGTAAATACACAACCAGGTATTATCTTTTAGAAATACGAAAATGAAACTTAGCACTTTCATGAATTAACTTAACCAGTCACCTTCTAGAGAGATACAAACCTTTCCACAAAATATAAGGAATATTTACAAAACTATAAATTTTATTAGTTGCTATAATGTAATCTATATAATTTTTATGTGAATTGCCATGGAATACAGTGCATATCTTCTGTTGTCACATATAATTTGCAAGATAAAACCTGTACCACTTAAAGAAAGATTTGATTAGTAACCGTGAAAGCGTAAGATGTGCATTATTTACCCCTACTTTCTAAAAGACATTTTCAATGGATGTGGTAAAACTGATAAATAGCACTGGTTTTTTTTCCACTTTTACAGCAGATTGAACCTCAAATATTCATCAGCAGATCAAGTATCTTTCAGATTCCTAAGTGGTCTTCCTGTCTCTGAGATTTTAGTTATGCATGCTGAATTAAAGTAGAGAATACAGAACAACAGGACAAACAAAGCCACTAACTAAAATAGACTGAAAGTCAGAGAATCCATTTTAAGTACTGAAAGCTTATTCTAGATACTTGAATCTTAATAATTTTAATCTTCTACCTCAGAACCTCAGAGCATGCAGCATGCACACCCTTGCACTGAAACAAAATGAATGTCTCAAGGCATTTTTTTTTTTTAAACACAAATCACTTTACCATAATCTGTTTGGAAGAATCTGGACAGGTATTACGCAACTTGTGTTCTTCTTTTATGAGAACTGGCAGAACCTAAAGAACGAAATCATATTTTAGATCTTAGCATTTCATCACTTATACTTGTTTCCTAAGAATACTCTTAAGTCTGTGTAATTTACTGGTTTACCATGATCAGATCCTAGGCCACCACAGAACACTACCATGTTTTGTGATGCTTGCATAGAACCTTTACACAAAAAATAAAGACTAGCTCTTCCCTAAAGGGTGACCATATACATTTGTATAAACAATTTAGAACTAACCAGGACAGCCTCTTAGGACAGCATCTTTAGGACTAACTAACAGTCTCTTCTTTATCATATACTCCACTTACCAATCTTTTCTGCATTATTATATAGAACAGATGCACATTAAATAAAATTAGGGATTTGAACGTTGGAAGCCCAGAGGACATAACTTTCCCTGCTTTAAATGACAAGACACTTTTTCCAATGGAAAAAACCCAAACAGACTGAGTATCAGCATAACTTACTTTAACTTCATCCAGTGGTTTTACTGGGATGTTTCGCCTCTAGAAAGAAAGAATACTAACAATTAGTTTTATTCAACATAAGGGAGAGACCTCTCTCTTCTACAATTTCAAGTATATTCAAACACAAAATGAGAGACAGCTGACCTTTTCACATACCTGTAATGAATTACAATGTAACAGTTGCTGTTTTCAAATATTTTAGTATTATGCATTTTAACTCATCTTTGAGTCCCCTTACACTATTTCTTCTGCCCATGAATTTTATATTCAAGTGCGGTACCTTAGTCATTACTTCAGTAACTTCTGATTCCAAGTCATTTAAGGCTGCACTTTTAGAGCTATTAATCCTTACTCAAATGTAGCAGCCCAAAATACTCAAGCATAAAACACCATGGCACATCATCACTGAAACACATTTAACTGTACAAAATCTGTACATATCCACATATGTCACAACTGAACAGCATTTCTAAGTGTAAATAGCCATTAACCATTTGAAAGGTATTCAGAAATTCTCATTTGGAACAATATTCATAGAACAGGGTGGCAAAACCGGAAAGGCACATGTTTTATTTTAAAGCTAAGTTCAATATGTTGTATACATATGTTTCTAAATGTAGAAGAATATTCAAAATACTGTTTTTGAACTTTTTGAACTTTCCAATTTTTTTTAACTAACCCTTTACATTTCTTCCTGCTTCATATACAATCTTTTTCCAGTAGGGACTGGAAAAAAATACCCAGAAAATTCTGAAGGATCCTCTGTATTTTTCATTCTATTGTCTCCTTTTCCCCAAACATCACTTAGCCTTTTCTACTTCGAAGTCTGCAGAGATTATGCTAAATCTCATTCCTCCATGTCAGGAAGTCCGAGTACTTTCCATCCTGCACACCCCCCCCCCCCCCCCCTTTCTTTTTTCTTAAATTATTCAGAATGTCGTGATTTTAAACAGCAGACAATTATTTCAAACTAAGAGAGGTTTTCAGAGTAAAGATCATATGAAACAAGATTTTGCAGTTTCTGGTAGTCTGTTTTGTCTTGGGCATACAAAGATTCCTACTAGAATTATACACAATTCTGAGAAAAATCTATTCTCCAGTCTTAGTATGAATCTCCTCGGTAAAGTGCTTTTGGAAATAAGTGAAAAGTTTTTCCTTCAGACATACTACATGAATTTAGAAGTTAGCACTGTTGGGTAACAGATACCTGTACAGTGGTATTAATCTATTCTCCAACATTATTTCCATGTTCCAAATAATTAATCCTTCCACAAGGAATATATTTTGCACTTAAATTAAGAAAAAAAAATCCTTAATGAAAGCATTGCAATATAACTCAGAAGCAGATACATATCATGACATTGAGTGACAGGGCTACCCAAACACCATTCAGTTGGTTGGCCCTTTCTCCCCAAAGCTGTCTTGCACCCCCCTGCCTCTTCCTTTCTGCAGTCACATAGTGAACCACATTGGAGAACTGATCTTGCTGAAGAAAAGAAAAAGATTAGTTGTCTGCTGATTCAGTTTCTAATTTGGTTCACCGCATGGTTGCATGAACAGCTAAGCCTGCACTGCTTGAACTGACAGTGGAACAAAGCATCTCATACTACATTAAAAAACAGACACAGGCCTGTTCTTGTTTTGATGAACTTGTGACATTTCTGTGCATCAAGGACACACCTGCTTTAGCTGATAAATAGTTTTGGAATGATCTCCACTAGTGATCTGGTCCAGAAGATCATCTACTATTTTCTTGCTGTAATTTCCAGCGTCCTTCACAAATTCTTGTAAGCTAATAGGAATGGAGATATAAGCATTATAGAAAATGTTTACTTTTGTAAAACACATTTCAACTTGTAATATGGTTTTCCCCAACTATGCTGCATTACACCTACATTTTCCTTGTTCTTTTACTTTTTTATGCTTCTTCAGAAAAGTAATTAAGGCCTTCAAGAAGGGTTGGTTGTTGGTTTTTTGTTTGTTTTTTTTTTTTTTTTTTTTTTTTTAAATGGAAGTAAGTGTAGGTGCAAACTTGTTTTTCACAACTACCAGCAAATTTTCACTTGAACTGTCATTGGTAGTGGGTTTAAAAAAAGCACAGAGAAGCAAAAAGCTTGTGATTAATTCTTTCCCTCCAAAATTAACAATTTAATGAAAACTGGCATTTTCCTTTTCAAGCATTTCTGTTTTGAACCTCCTTGAAAAATATCACTGTGTTAAAGTCACTGAAATCTATTACTTGCATATCTAAACCTACTTACTGCTGGGTTTAAAGCAAAATGCTAAATCTTTAGCAACCTACAATATCCTGTGGTCAAAGGCCCTAATAGCAAGATCCATAACAGCCTTGCAATAAAACAGGGTAACTTAAAAGTGCAAATGGGAAAAAACCAAAACCAATAAACCAACCCCTCAAAAACCCCAGCCAACCAGGATGAAAGCTAGCTTCAAGTTTTATAGTGAGTTATTTTTAAAGTAAGTTTTAGAAAAAAATATCAGGATTTGGAGGCTCCTAGTTGACATTTGGTCCAAACTGCTTTTCATAAAATTGCTATGAGAAGTTAGGCCTCCTAATAAGGAAGCGCTTACCTTAAGGCACACTGTATCCCAGTTTCATCACCATATGCTGAGTACAAGAGTTCCACTTCATCTGATTTCAAATCATGAAATATAGAATTGTTTTGCATGGAAGGTGCTGTACTAGCACTTGTAAGAAAGGTTACTAGACAGGTAGAAGAAAGAGATGGCAAATGATTAACACAAGTGACTCTAGTATCAGCGCAACTATTTTAACCATATAAATAAACGTACTTACACTACTGGAAAATAAAGAACTAGTTAACCACCCCACTCCCACAAAAAGATTCATCCCCCCACCTGCTTTTATATTTCTGCTTTTTGCACATGTCTACTTCACTGTTGTTTGCCAGTCAGTTTCTGGAGAGCAGATTAAAAACTATGAAAAATGTCAATAATACTAGAAAAAAAAAATCCAGTTTGTGAAATCCTTGTCATATGATACAAAAATGCAAATGACCAAAAAGGTCTTTTCTCAACTTTTAAGCGCAGTTGCTCAGGAAAAATTACTTCCTCCAGAGAAAGTGGAGTACCATTATTGAAAAGCTTCTAGTGTGGCTATAGCACTAAGGCAAAACATTAATCCATAAACTCCTAAATAAGTTATGTTTAATAAGCAAAAAAGTAAATTTAATTAAAACTGCATTCTGCTGTAAATGGAATAATTGCATATTACAGAAATAACCAAGTGAACTTTCTTTTGGAGACAGGTATAATCTGAAATTATTTTATATCAAGAAATGGCTCAAACATCTAATTAACACAAAGTTAAAACATATTCTTTGGCATTTACCTTTATTTCTTCGTTCGTCTTTAAAGCCCAGTGTAGTGAAGCCAGGTAATAATTTGCTTGACAGTGAACTCAGATCCACTGGGTGAGTTTCTTCCTCTAATAATTTGATTTAAAAGAAGGTAATAATTTTTAGAAAAACTTTTAATGTTTAAAATTTATTTATGGTGAATATTTAGATTTTGCAATTTTAAAACACTGCAGTTACCATAAAGGCTAAATGTCTTTTAATCTGTACTTTAAGGATAGGTAGTGTAATTCAGGTTCTCCATTTAAATTTCAAATAGATGCTGTAAATATGTTTCCATCTCTTAGTCACAAGATCTATGGCTTGCTTAGTTATTTCACTTTTAAAGTATACAGCAGCATCTGAAATTCTTTTACTAGCTGATTCACAAACATTCAAGATCCAGATATTATGAAGTGATAAAAGCAACTTCTTCTGTTGACTAAGTGGTAGTTTGTCTATAGAAACCCAGATACCATGTAAAGAACCTTGTTAAGATAAGTACCATTATGGCTATAGCACTATTTCTTTCTTCTAAAGTTCTGAGAACTGCTTAATTAAAATAACTCAAATAATTTGGAATATGCTTTTAAACTAAAAAAAACCAAACCAAACAACTAAAAAAAAAATAATCCCAACAACATTTAGGACACTTCCAGTTATTTGAAATCTCTCTGGCTGTTCTGGAACCTAATAGTAATCATGCTCAATTACTGAACAAGAAAGCAAATTTATCCCTAGAACCTTACTAGGATTAAAAAAACCCAAAACAACAAAAACCAAACTACAACAAAAATTCAGATTATACTATTAGCTGTAAATTTAGTGTAACTAGTATTAACTACACAAACAATCAAAAAAAGATTCTGGAGCACAGAAACATCAGGAAGCAGTACAGTACTTTACAGCACACAGCAGAAGCTTGCTCTGCTCCCATTATCATCACTGTCTAAATTTTCAGTGGCATGATTTCAGATGTATTAAATCACATTAATTTTACTACTTTTCTCAGAAATAGGTAAGGGCATGATGGCAGCTGAGATGCTCAATTTCATTCCAGAAAAATTCCAAATGAAAATTTAGACAGTAATAGAGTTACAGGCTTGTATCTCTGAATCAAAAAAATCAACAGAAATGTGACTAGTCAAAAGGGTTCATGCATTCATCAGAGCAACAATAGGTAAGCTGTGAATGAATTCCAATCTCAAAAGGTGCAGAGAAGGAAGTGCTAAATCAACATGACATACAGCAGCATAAAGACTATGACATTTCATTCATTACAAACTTTCAAAACTTCTGCATTTTGAGCTCAAAACTAAAACAACTGGAAAGCATAAGACAATATAAATATTGTATAGTACTAACACAAACAAAAACCCACAGAAAAGATCAAGGAACTAAAGAAAAACAATTAAGCAAAACCTAATTAACTTACAACTGAAATGTAGCTAATAATTTAAATTAGGAAATTAAGAAAGACAATTCTGAATTTACATCTGTGCACTGCACATTTACATAGGATTAAAGCACCTTCCTTCACCTTTTGTCCATTAGATTTTAACACTACAGGGTACTTGGAGCAAAAGCCTGTCTTCCAAGTTCTCTATAAAGTTGCAGCAATGTATAAGTGCTTATAAACAGATCCTATTTTACCTTCTTACTGTTAGCATGAGTAGAGTGAAAATTTGAAAGGCAAAGAGAAACATCCTATACTGGAGATACTAAATATAGCTGTTGGGGAAAATGGTTGGGGGAATAATTTAAAAAAAAAAAAACAAACAAAAACCCCCTCATCTATACTACCCAGGATCTGTATGTACTGTTAAGACTTCAAAATCTGCTAGAACATTGAACATTACAAACGTTTTCTTGAAAGATTATAGCATTTACCTTCTGCTTCTGGATCAGATGAATTTACTACACTAAATAATAAAGTTCCATCTCCATTTTTTTTCAGATAACCAATCTGTAAATAGAACCACAAAGATACAGAAGCAATCACTCAAAACAGTCCAAACTCAAGGAGTTGCTCACTTACACAGAAAACAATAAAAAGCATTTTTAGCTGTATTCAGATCCCACACTCTGGTATTCCCTTTTTAATACAGAGAACCTTGGGTCACAGCTGTTTATCACCACCTAGCAAATGCTTCAGAACAGAAGACTTAGGAGTAAAAGTTCATATGTCATATATACAACACCTTATTCATCTTCCTAAATCAGATCCAAAGTATTCATCCAAAACAAAAACAATTCCATTATAATTAGTATGGAGCCAGGCATTCTGACTGCCAAGCCTAAAACACACTTTGTTTTTAGAAGCAGAACTGCAACTCCTATCCACAATCTACCTCACTGTTTATTTTCAAATTTAGACTGAACTGCTTGTTTTCATATCTCATCCACAACTTTATCTAATTACAAGTACTTTTATGAACATGCTATCAAAATCTTAAAGAGGAAGAAGTGCTGTGACAGACCTAGCAGAGCACACAAACACAATGCTAAAAAGACAGCCAGAGATGTGAAAGACAATAGAACACACTAGGGTCTGTAAAGATAGAGCCAGAACTGATACAACAAACTAAGCTGATGTCAGAAACTGACTACACATGAATCGTGCAAAAAAGACTGTAACTTCTCAGGAAAGACGGAAAATGAAAACTATGCTCTCCCTAAAGAAATACTAGTAAATACTTTCAAGTAAATTGAACAATAAACCTCTCCCCTATTTTGTTTTCTTCCCCTCTCTCTTAAAAAGTTTAAAATTCTCAATACATAAGGCCAAAGCTAATGTTGGCATATAATAAAAATAGAGGTGACAAATGCTGGAAAAGGAATAAACAGGATCGATACCTTCAACTGATGGCAAAAGTTAACAACGGCTGAACTCTTAAGAACGTGTCAGTGTTACCTAGATTCAGTGGGATCTGCAGCGGGTTGTCTAGCTGATTAAGAGCCTAGACAATTAAGAGCTGCACACCTAGAACAACTGTTTCTTGAACACTGCAAAACTGACTGCATCAGCATGAAAGGCCTTTTCAGTAAAGCTAGCACATAGCAAAAGATTGGTATTGCTTTAAAGGGTTTTTAAAAAGCCACCCTTACTTTGGAGGTCTCAAATAGCCTTCAATCCTAGCAAGTCTTCTAATTATCTAAAGAAACAGAAATATACTGAAGAAGCCAAACCTTCTCCCACTGGTCTTTGAGGCTTTACTTCCTAACCCAGTTGAGCCTAAGGTGACTGCATAACAAGGGCCATTGTCCAAGAAACGGACATTTAAGTTTGAAGACACAACTGCTACCACTAATGCTTCAAAGCAAGAGTTTCTTCTGCAACAGTTGTTAAAAAATAGGTGGAAAATGCAGGATGTAGCAATATCCTCATTTTTTTTTTTGATTGCAGTGGTCACTGGAGTATGTGACAGAATGAGAAATGATGACAAAGGTGGTCATAAGACTCCACATGATGCAAGCAAAACAGAATAAACGTATGTCAACACAGGCCTGTAGCAAATGCCTGTAGCATTCAGTCCAACCCTAGCATGAAGTAATGAAGGAATCCAGTATTATCACATACCTAAGAAAAACACAGCCCATAAACAGATCGTGCTGAGGAAACGGCACTAACAGTATCACTGAGCTTTTCCTTCCAACTCTTGGAACAGCACAAAAACCAAACACATGGAACAGCATCAGAATCACAATCAAGATGATCAAACCTCTGGTTAGCACTGTCCAAAATTCCAACACGGACAAACTACTGCTATCTTCTCCTAGTCACTGAAAGACGTCTGTATTTTGTATGCACGCAACAACGTACTATAGCTGAACAGCTCCTACTTGTAGGTACAAAACTACAAGAGGTTCTGGACTTCTCATTGAAAACAGTAATTTAACACTTAAAAAATTCCTGAATTCCTTAGGTTGGGGGCAGAAATCCTAATAACCCTTCAACCTATGCCAAAGTTTGCTTTTTCTGAGGTTGCAACAATAAAAATAGCATGATGCTATTCTAATCACTTTCAATGCTAAGGGTTGCAATTAAGGAAGCCAGATTCAAGACTGAGCAACATTTCACTGTTTTCTGCAAGTGAATTTCTAAAGAAGTTCAACACACCATACAACTTGAGATCCATTTAGGACACCCTACAATGGGCTTCAGTGGGAACTAAATGATAGACAATTGTCACATTGGTATTCCACACAAAGCATACATCCTAAATGTTAGTCTCAGAAAACATTAATACTGAAGCCTATTTCCTAAGATGAGACAAAGCATTCAATAGTCAGACACAAAATGGAATTGTGAACTTCGTTGTGCAGTAGACCTTGCTGTTGGGTAGATATCGATTGATCCTATCCCGAGCTTCATCTGCTGCATGTTCCACTAGTGCCAGGACATGTTCTTCAGCGGTGCTATCTGTCAGGCTGCACGCATTTCCCTCAGGTTCAAATATGCAACTAAGAAAGAGAAGAGGAGTAGCTGTAGAAATTAAAAGCTAAAACAAAACAAAGGGCTGATTCTGGGTTTGCTAAATAAAACCACCAGTCCCACTCCTCTCCCAGTGTCAGTCTACTTTAGCATTTAAGTGGAATTATAATCATATCATGAAACTGAAGTTTTGCAGCAGAAGCTGAAAACTACCAAACTTCAAAAATTTAATTGTTTTTGTACCTTGATGAAAATAAAGGAAGTATTACAAAACAGAGATTGGGAGTAAAATTGCCTTAATACAAGGTGAATGCTGTATGTGTCCTTAGTCTCCCACATGCGTGAATATGCTATTTTCACAAATTCCAAATAGAAAAAAGCAGAAAAGAAATTACATGATGAAGGAATGGAGACTGTGTAACTCTGATCTGAGAAAAAAAACCCCAACAGGCTGCATTTATGAGTATTATGTCATTTAGTTGCTTGTAGAAGTAGGACACTGCTCCCAGTCTAACAGGGAGTCCTTTAATTCCTATGTTTGTTAATATTGGCAATTAGTATTCGTAATCAGTATCAATCAGGCCATTCCTCCTTATTTAAATTACAGAATTTAACATTTATCTTTCAGTAGATCCCTTTTCATTAAAGCACCAAAACAGTAAAAACATAACAAACAAGCATACCTAAGATGGAACAGGACATATCTTAGCTATTACAGAAAATCAGAGAAAGGTAGTATTATAAGGGGAATTGAGAAGATATCATAGGACATGGCAGTCTTCATTATATTATATATTTAAAATAAACTTTGTACATCAAAATCTTTCAGGGCATTATATGGACATTAGACACTAGGGCCAAACACCTTAGGTACTGGGTAGAGCATCTCCTCACACCAAATCCATTTCTCTCTCGTGGGTTATCTTCTTCCATTTGCTTAGCTAAGAATTTCTCTCTGTATAGAGATTCAGATCCGATACACAAGAAAGTTTTGCTATTAAAGACAATAAAAAGATCACAGGATCATACTATTATGAGACAAATGTGTTATACGATTTTTGTTTCATTGAAACTTTAAGAAAGGGTGTACACAGCAGGAAACTCCTCAACAACTGACACTTTCTATCACACTCTACAGAATACTTCATGGACAAGAATTTTGCAAGAATGTTCAGAAGGTTGCGACATCCTGGACAAAATTTTCAAAAACTACTTAGATATTAGGATGTCCAAGTGATCAAGTCACTTTTTAAACTACAGTAGAGAGGTCTAAACTGCTTTAATACTTTGCAAACATTGACTTCAGCTCCTTCTCTGTTTTTAACTGTGAAATACAAAGGCAAAAGTATCTGCTGTTAGGTTTGATTCTCCCCCCAAAGCTCTTACTGTACATCAAAAAGAATAACATCTATCCTACTGATGCCAAAATATAAGTGTTTAAAAGGTCAAGTTAATTAGAAAAAACAAATTCCAACTACTACAGTTACATAAACACTGAAAAGAACAGGAAAGTAAATTTATACCACAACTGATTATAAGGAAACTGGTATCAGGATAAAATTAAAGGTCAGTTATTTTTAACTATCTGAATTGTATGTTAAGGTAGATACTAAAGACAGAACAGTACTATATTGCTTGGCAGTCTCATTTTCTTGCTCTGTTAGCTATCTGTATTTGAAGATGAGCACAGAAAAAGTGGCCAAGTACAAAGTTACTCCTGTAATGGAGTTTATGTAAAAATTAATCAGAAGAGAAAATCTATTATTCTGGGCACCATACAAACCAAATCATCATCTTTTAAAAAAACCAACCAAACAAAACCCAAACCACCTCCCCCCCAGTCAAGTCTTGTTTACAGAAAGGTACCTTCAGTTAATTCCTATACACAATCCATTAAACAAAGAACAAATTGCACCTTGATAACTCTCCATGATACAGCAAAAGATATGTTTCTGCATGCTGACATTAGAATAGTTTCAGCCAAAAAAATTACTCAGTTTAAAATTGCTTTTGAAGATATATGTTGCAGTCTCCTATTTCCACAAAACAACTACATTAAAATACTACTACTTCCATCAGACATTAAGCAGGATTACAAAAATGCTTGAAGTGTAACAAAAAAAATGTGGCTGATTCTAACTCTAAAGTTCACTTTTAACAAAAATGAGAGAGCATGAACTTGGAATAACAAGTTACATTTCACTTTTTTACTTTGGATGTTTAAGAAAGAAGCCTGCAGAACATATCTACATGATCAGATTATTTAAGACATGCCTAGTAATGCTCTTAGTTTTATTTTCATAAAATTCCACTTGATATAATGCCTTACAATTTAAATTCACCATCTATCCTAGGATGTCTATGTAAGTACACTGAACAACACACTTTGCTTGTAAATCACAGTTTCCGCTAAAATCTCCTCATAAAATAGAAAATAAAACCCTTTAGTTAGACTAAAATTAGATTTTAACTATAAAAACATGACTTTGCGACACAGGGGTGCCTATTAGCTGGAAGACAGCTATTGCACTAGCAGTGTATTTTATGAAGAAGCTTAGTAAGATTTCATTGGGAAGATGTTATCATCTGCTCCAGAAGTAATCTCCTGTATCTCTACAACCTGCCAGATAAGACTAAAGTTAAATAAAATAATTTACTGATCTGGGGCCACTTTGCCTCCCAGAAAGATCCTGTTAGGTTTTGATACAGTCAATCACTTTACAAAAAAGGACAAGATGCAAAAGGTATTTGTGGCTATGTTAAAAATGAAAGTACATTTCAAAGCATCATGAGAAGAAACTCTCATTATTTAACATAGATATAAATAAGGATAAAAATAGCTAAATATACTTTAACTGTAAGTGTTTAAAAGAATATGCAGTGATTCTTTGAACTGTTTGTTTCAAGTTGGGAATCACTGGGTTATTAAACTAGTTCTATAAATAAACAAACAAATAAAATACAATAAAATTGCCCACTTATCCTATTGACCACAAGGAGAAAGGCTGAAAGGAGGTTTTTTGCTCAATTCTTTGCTGCTGTCTAATATTACAAAAGCTGCAACAAACCAGTAAGCATGCCCATTAAAACCTTTACCTAATAACTTCTTTATTTTGCTTTTTGGATTTCTTGGTAGTCTCTGCTTGTACAGGAACAACTTCAGGGACAGGTTCCTCAACTGCTGTGTCTTCATCACCCAAAAGAGCTGCCTGCTGAGAAAAATCCATGTCCTGCATAAACGACATGCTGCGCTTCAAAGCTAACAGCCGTTCCTAGAATCAGAAAGGACAGAGCGGCAGGGACTTAACCTTTCCCTCATAGCCAAGATGCTATGATAATGGGATGGGATGGGAATGGCCATGGCCTTATTTTGTTCTTAATGCCTCGTTTCCAATGGCGATGCAACATGATTTGGTCATGGTAGCATGGCATCAGAATTTCTGCAGCCCAACTATCAAGAGAGAAACAAACAAACAAACAAAACTGCATATGCAAAGACAACTGCCTATTTTACACAAAACTTACCATAACTGCAACACATGCACACGCGCACACACACGCACGCACACACACACAGAGCAGCTCACCAAAATAACTTCATTTTACAAGCCAACAACTGTATGAGTAAAAAGTGTTTGCACGCACGCATCTGTGAAACCCCTGAAACCTCCCCTACACCCACCACCTTAAAAAAAAAAAATAAATAAAAATTTCTTGTTTATGCAGAAATAAAACTTAAAAGAGATCTTGCTTTCAAAGTTTCAACCAGAAGCAGTATTTTACAGTTGGGTTTTATAAACACAGATCTTAATTGCTTCCACTGAGGCCAGTGGAAAAAGTTCCTACAGACTTCAGCGGTGCAGGTAAAGTTGAGAAATAAGGGTATGGTTAAAACAAGAATGCTATCAAGCCCTTAAATACAGCAGCACTAACAGGCACTGCTATAATTAATCACAGATGGATGAAATAACATTTATCATTGTTATTAATTATGTTCCTTTTAAGTATGACAACACACCACACCACACCACCCCCACCCCTCCTGAAGAGTTTCTGCTTTTTGTTTTTAATAGTTCTCTTACTTTGCTCATCATCTTAAAGCCCGTGTGCAGTATCTTCTTGGCTAGCTTGTAGTAAACAGTATCTGGTCTGTTGTAAGTCATTGCATTATCACACATCAGTTTAAAATCTGCCTGTAAAATACAAAACAAAAGAACTGTTAAAATTTTTATTTCCTTTGTTAAATGACTGGAAGATACCAATCCATCACAGCAGCTCTGTGAACAACACAGCAATATTTTAGCAGCAGGCTCATGGAGTAAATGCAAGCCAAAAGGTCACACAGAATTGCAAAGGTTTGAGCCCTTTTTGCTTCAAGATGCTCACTTTTGTTTGGAATTGGCTTTTTGGTTACAAAAAAACCCAAACCGCACAACTTTTCCCTGAATGCCAGATGTTACATTTCCTCCTTATGCAAACGGACCAAAGAGAAGAAATGGAGAAATTAATAGGACTGAGGTACCAAGGTAAGTACTTTTTAGTGTTTTTCCCACCTTCTAAATCAGAACGGACTCGAGAAATACAATGACATCAGAAAGATACAAAGTGTCTTACATATAATTTTAATTCTAGTAATTTGACTGCTTCTTCAGTCGCTTGCACTAAAACAAAAACAAAAAAAGAAAAGAAAACTTCAAAGCATAAGAAACAGTCTTCTAGATGCTCATTGCATGCAACAAAAAAACCAGACCAGCCAAGCCTGATTTTGTCTTCTCCTTTGAATGGTTATGTGTCACACATAATTTCAAGTAATTTTTACTGATGCAAGTTGTATTGGGTTTGTGTGGCAAGGTTCTAGTAGCCAGGGGGTTACAGGGGTGGCTTCTGTGAGAAACTGCTAGAAGCTTCCCCTATGCCTGACAGAGCCAATACCAGCCGGCTCTAAGACAGAGCCGCCACTGGCCATGGCTGAGCCCCTCAGCAACAGTGGTAGTGCCTCTGGGAGAACATATTTAAGAAGGAGAAAAAAGTTGCTGGGGCACAGAAACGGCAGCCAGAGAGAGGAGTGAGAACTTGCAAGAGAGACAACCCTGCAGACCCCCAGGTCAGTGCAGAAGGAGGGGAGGAGATGCTCCAGGCGCTGGAGCAGAGATTCCCCTGCAGCCTATGGGGAAGACCACGGTGAGGCAGGCTGTCCCCCTGCAGCCCAGGGAGGTCCGCGGTGGAGCAGATCTCTACCTGCAGCCCAGGGAGGTCCCCACGCCAGAGCAGGTGGGTGCCTGAAGGAGGCTGTGACCCCATGGGAAGCCCATGCTCAAGCAGGCTCCTGGCAGGACCTGCGGATCTGTGGAGAGAGGAGCCCACACTGGAGCAGGTTTGCTGGCAGGACTTGTGACCCCATTGGGGGCCCATGCCAGAGCAGGGTGCTCCTGAAGGACTGCAGCCCATGGAAGGGACTGATGCTGGAGCAGTTCATGAAGAACTGCAGCTTGTAGGAAGGACCCATGCTGGAGAAGTTCATGGAGGACTGTCTCCTGTGGGAGGGACCCCACGCTGGAGCAGGGGAAAAGAGCGATGAGTCCTGCCCCTGAAGAGCATGAAGCGGCAGAGACGTGTGATGAACTGACCATAACCCCCATTCCCCATCCCCCTGCAACACTGTGTGGGGTAGGTAGAGAATCCAGGAGTGAAGTTGTGCCCAGGAAGAAGGGAGGGGTGGACGGAAGGCGTTTTGAGCTTTGTTTTTATTTCTCATTATCCTACTCTGGTTGATTGGCAATAAATTGAGTTAATTTTCCCCAAGTTGAGTCTGTTTTGCCCGTGACAGTAATTGGTTGAGTGATCTCTCCCTGTCCTTATCTCAACCCACGAGCCCTCTGTTACATTTTCTCTCCCCTGTCCAGCTGAGGCAGAGGAGTGATAGAATGGCTTTGGTGGGCACCTGGTGTCCCAAAACAAAGGTGCAACACAGTCCACTGTAAACAGAACCAAAAAAATTTTGTTGCAGATTGTAAAAGCTTTTTCTAGGGTGCCTTTTTTCTAGTCACGTGCTACTGATCTGTAGAGTAAAGCATAGAAAGCATTATTAGAAGCTCTACGAAACACTGAATTAAGATGACATTATTGTATGCCTCTGAAAATTTCTTAAGTTAGCAAATCAATAATCAAGATTCATGCAGTAGTCTTTTAGGGTCAAATTTCTGAAGTGCCCAGACAAATTAAAGTGGCACCTGGTTTAAGAATGTATTTTTATCTCTTAGTAATTTTTCAATATTTAAACGACGATTGTTCAAGCAATTAGATTTCACTTATTCTGTAGACACAAATGCAGATGTTTTTTGTGCATGAGTCCACTATATTTGATGACGACTTGACCATGTGCAAAAGTGTATGCAAACAGAATGGTATGCTTTTTGAAAAGTTAACCCATTGAGTTTACAGACCAGTGAACAGATTTCCTGAGACAAAGATTTTTGAAGGTTACTATTGTGGTTGGACATAAAAGTCTTTCTAAAACTTTCTCTGGCACCCAACAATTACAAAAAATAACCTTGCCCTACTGCAATCCTGATCAGATTCTGTAACAACAAAAAATTGTTTTATTTCCTGTTTCCATATAGGGGTGTCAGAGCAGTGCTCTCCTAATCATTTAGTAGTTGTCATCAAGCCCATATAAGCAAGTAGGTGAATAGAGTCTGTGACTTTCTACGGCATTTAAGCCATCTGACTTCACTTAACGACACCATCACAAAAACAGAAATTGAGAAGGTGACATGGAGGAGCAAACTATGAGCCAAAAAGCAGATGAAGACCACGTGAGCTGTACATCTAGCGATGACCTTTGAAGTGCTGCAGAAAAGGACAGAGAAGAGTCTTTTGCTTGCCCAACTTTGAAGTAGACCCTTTTTTCAGCAGTAAAACTGATGAGTCTCCTGCAGCAATTTCCCTTCTTATAAATGCAGAAAATGGTTCTTGTGGATTCTAGTCTTAGATTATTTATTGGCTTGTGACTAGCCTCATCTGATTATAATAGGTATATCAGAAATGAAGGATAATTGTTTGAGCAGGCCTTGTTTTAGAGGTCAAAAACCTATAGACTTCATTTCTGTATTACACAGAATTACAAAGGCATAAGCATAACTAGGTACACTCATATATCTAGAAAGTGAGTCCAACCTCTATGTCACTGTAAGCTGGAGACTTCTAGCAACTATTTATTGCTCCTCAGAGTATCAGCAGAAACTAAGTCCTTCATAAAAAAAAGAATCTGTCGGTCTAAACAGTGCTGCAATTTTCTTTCCTTTTTTTTTTTTTAGGTTGCTATCCCACCAGTTTCAATATTGCAACCTTGCCTGTAACTAGAGGCACAGAGCTCCCATTCAAACTTCCTTTTTAAGTTGCTGAATAAGACAATCCAGCAAGCCAACAGAATTTAGAGACCTGAAGGCATTGCTGATGGCAATGCTATTATGAATCCTGCTTTACTATTTCCTGTAAATCTCTATACCTTTTTCAAAAAATAAAGCATACATAAAAAAACAGTAATCTTTGTCAGAGCACCTATAAAAAATAAAAGCCATTCTTTGCTCACCTTGCTGGACCTTTCAAAAGAAGAAATTAACCCTGAGAAGCAAGCCAATCCTCTCTGCCAAGTCTGTTGTTATATCAACACCACTCTAGAAAACAATAATACTGAAGGCAGCTAATAGAACTTCATGAATCAGTTAAAGAAAACTCCTTTCCTTCCAGGAGCTTTCATGGCAATACCATGAAAAGATTTCTTACTGCACTGTCTGTAAAACCACAATGCATCCAGTAAAGTATTACAGCAATAGCAATACACAAAATAGCCAAGTCAAGTTGCCAATAAACTTGCCAAGTAAGTTTCTGCCAAAAGACCATTCCAAATGAAGTTATATGGAAAACAGGATAATTAAAGATAAAAAATAAGTGGTTGAAGAACCTGGAATTCTGCCTAAGTCTTTGTGATAGTCTTACTCCTGTTTATGTCTAGCAGCATGAATTCCATAGAACTTTAGAGCATGTTCTTGGTTTCCACAGTAATTTGTAGTAGATCATAGTAGAATCTGACAAATACAGAGCTTCCACAGTGAAAAACAAAGCAAGAAACTCATTCTACCACACAGAACATACGAAAGTGCTCAGTTCTGAAAAAATGCACATTAAAATAATTAATGTAAGAAAGGCTTCTATAGTTAAAAGGAATCTTCAGTTTCTTACTAAACAGTTCTGAAATAACTAAATATCTATTAATTCACCTTGAATTCAGTGACTGATTTGTATTCATTCGCTGCAATTTTTTCCTTCATCGTACCAAAATCCATGGGGTGCTTTATTATCATGGAATATCCTGGAGCAATGGCATCCGTGACTGGAAAAGCAAAAAACCCATGAGGATCTTTCCTAAAAATAAAAACAATACATTTAGATTTATATCAGCAAACAAAATTATCATTGTTTTTATACTACATTCATGGTATAAAAAGAATAGCACTACTTAAAAAAAGAAAAAACACTAAACGCACTCCATAAAACAGAAGCATATTTGAAAAATTTCCTCATACAGGAGAGAATTTTGATTATGCATATGTAGACTTTCTGAAAGAGACTCAGCTAATTCTTGAATTACTTAATTATTTCTGGTATGCATTCTGTGTCTCTATCTACACTTCAAATGGGTCTTTTGGCTTCACTGAGTAATAACCTCTTCAATTCTTGTTCATGAGGTCCTCTAACAATAACTACAGTGTTTAATATTTTCAAATTAGTTCCAAATTCAGCTTATTGCTATGTAATAAAAAAGGAAAACTAATTTTTTTTTTTAAAAACATGAGGTACAGCATTAACAATCTTATGGAAAACAATAAAATAAAAAGCCTCTCCAAATTAAGAGGATTATCAAGTAAGCAGGTATAAACTTGCTTTGGTATCTGACAGAGGACACAGAATAAAACAAAATTTCATGAGAACAGTCCAATCTTTTAAACTATTAAAATTCAGAACTGTTTTTTAATTCACAAATTAAGTCATTAGCATTTAATAAATTTATAATGGCAACGTACCCCTTGCCCAAAACACTTCCCCACCAAAAGCTAGAACTGCATAGTTAGTAATAACTTTCCTCAACTAATCTTTAAAAACCACCAGGTCCGACATGGTTACAAAGGTTACCAAACATACTACAGCCAGTCTTTAGGCACTATTTTCAAACAGAAAACCAGGATAAGAAGTTGTAAAGTAACACATACAAATATGCACTAGAATCTGTTGACACAGCTGTAGATACAAGATGCTCAATACCTCTGAAGCTGGCGAAGGAAGTGTTCTAGTAACTGCTGGATCGGTGTGCTCTCATTTTCAGCTGCAGTTTGAGATGGAAACACAGGTAAGTGCAATGAAACAGAATATAGGTGTATTTATTCATTTTAAAAGATAAATACCAGACAGAAAAAGCTTAACTACAAGTACAGCTTGTACTGATCTGAAGGTCAATGAGACATGGATTTCAAAGCAGAAGCACATCAGATTTCTAAGCATACAGTAACTATTTCTTCTCCTTTACTACTTACTGAGTTTTAATCACATTAGAAACTAGTAGGTGTTAAATCAGATGTAATGCTAAGTCTAGTAGTTGTAAGAAAATGTATTAGCAAGGTGCAAGTAAGGTGTTATGTATTTTTACAGGAAAAGTGCAATTTGGTTCCTCATATACTGCAGTTGGGAAATCCATGTTCTTGCAACATGTTATCCAATTCAATTTTAATGGTTTCTTTACCATAACACCCATGCAATTAGCTTCTCTGAATCTTTTCAATCAAAAAGAAGAGTGACAAATAGATGCAGATTTGTACCAAGAGAGGTACTGATTACAATTTCACTTCCTGTACAGATTAAACAATAAACACTACATGTTTATTACCTGTTCCATGCACATACATCAGAGAGACTAGCTTTAATGTGAAGTTTAAAAACTAAAGCAGCAGCATGCTGAAATCTAGAATCAAAACTCCAACTCTTCAACATGAAAATGCAGAGACATTTCCTTTCTTAACCAGAAAAGGTAAGGTAATTTGTATGCTTTTGAACGACATTTCCTAAGCAGATGCCAACATAAGCCTTGTCAATATAGAGAGCAGGTTTTAGCTTGTCAGTTTTTCAAGGCTCCAGAGACGTGTAGCTTTGACCAGAAAATTTCAGTTACCCCTATCAGGTCACCTTGACAGTTGATGGACACCATTCCTCAATTTAATGTGCAGTCATAATTAGAAAATTCCTCAACACATTACTTGACCAGTCAATGGGCAGTGTTGCAAAGACCCAACTTTTTGCTACTAAGTTCATTTTCCAGGCATATGTGTAGCAAGATCATGATGTATTTGAAAATTCTTGTAAGTAAAAGTTTCCACTGGATAATGTTGAAATTTAACTATCAAGCAATGGCTACAGGCAGAGAAAGCATGACAAAATCTGAAGGGATTAAACATGCAGAAGTTACCACATGCAACTGATAAGTATTTTGGCTGGTGATGAGAATTAAAGATTGGTAAATGAAAACTGGGGGGACTACAGTCTTTAGAGACACCCTATCACAACTTACTGCCATACTTTTGATGAAAATAGAGATACTAAAATTAAAATTCCACATAGGTTATAAAAAAGACCATAACAACAGCTAAGCAGTCTCTGCAAGATTCTTTTCTCTTGAACTGAGCAAAACTTCGTTTCAGACATTCTGACCATTGTTCTGTAAATGCTAAGGAAAAGGAATTAGGTGAACACTACACACAGTAATACTTTTATACTAGCTTTATTCTGCCAATTAACAGAAGCCAGAGACAGATGTCCTTGGCAAGTTCAGTCACATGAAAACAAACGTACTAAAACCCAAAAGCACCAAGAGGAATATTGACTTTTCAGATAGCAGAAAGTTCTGAATGTTGGAAAAAATAAGGTCTCTAGATTTCAGCAAATCCTCATGGAAGTTTTACATTTTGGTACCTTTGACAAAAGCTTTGTTGTGCGTGCTTTTAGAAACACCCAAGGTGATTTAATTTTTCATATTGCTCACCTGGCTGAGTTCTGCATGCTCTGACAGGACGATCTGGAGGAGGTTCAACCTCCACTTTTTTCCCAGGATCAAAGTCATCAGTTTCTCCTTCAGTGTCACACTGTTCCTTCTCCCTTTTCCTCTTTTTCTCTTCCTAGCACAGCAGGAATAAGACAGATTTCTGAAGAACGTACTTGAAATATGCAATCCCACATACCAAAAGGTAAGAGACAGTGATTTTTCATTTGGAATACTCATTCTATATCTGAGCCATAATATGGTTTAAACAATAGTGCATACATTTGCACTGTCACATTTTCAATTTTCTTCTCCAATTAAAACTAATACAGTTCAGCTTTTGCTTCTTTGTATTCAATATACTATCGTTCTATCATTAGTTACTGTACTTTTACTGAAAAGAATGTTAAACACTGAAGCTATTTTTATATATATATATATATATATTTATATTGCATGATAATAAGCTACACCAGAGACTGAAGGAAGTTAATTTACTATTTAGTAAAAATCAGTCTGTAGCTCTGCTTTGATCAATGTGTTTTTGTTGTTTGGTGCATTAAACAGGAGTCAATAAAGTAAGCCATCTACAAAAGAACCGTAAGAAATGCTTTGTAACAGTGGTGGCAATTAATGATCTCTTCCTGAGCTTCAAAGGAAAGGCATGCCTGAGTCACTCCTATAATCTCACAGTCATTATTCATGTTTGCACAGAAAAGCATACTTTCATTAACTTTGTTCAGACTACAGTTTTGTTACTTATCTATTCGTTAGCTTCTCTTGCATCCACTAATAATGAAGTTCTGGGGAAAACAAAATCCACCCCACCCCCAATTTAGCAAAGGCAAACCAAATAATTTGATTTGATGCTGCAAGATCTTCTATTAAAGACAGTTGTTTTGCTACATTTCAAGTCACAGCTATACTCTTAACTGAAACATTTAAAATGTTTGTAAGAAGAAAATTTTCCTTGTATTCAAGAGCTTCTGAAAAATCCTACAAGATATATCACTTTCACATAATACAAGCCTAACAAACAAATCAATTCAAAATGACAGATGTTAGCCATACACACATATAAAGTAGAACTAAAAAACTGTCATAGGAGAATAGTAAACCTGCATAACAGAAGAGAATTAAAAAGCAGAGAGGTCAGAGAATCATTAGTACATAAAAGAAATACCATTAAAATGAAACTGTACAGGTAACTGTACCGTCGTCTTCTTGCTGATTTCAATCTAACTCCTAAAGGTTCAGCACAGACAACTAAGGTGATCGTACCATTTGCTACTAACAAAGCCGCAAAGCCTAGCCTGCAGGTTATTCTAAACAAGAGACAACAAGACTATTGTACCACAGTACTCAACAGATCAGATTTCAGAAAGCTGTTTTGAGTAAACATATCAATTTCAATGTACAATAACTTGGCATATCTCAGGAACAGAAATGCAATCTAGATTTATTTGAAAAGCTGAAAATACCCTCCTCAAAAGGGTAGCAAAACATGTTTCTCACCTCGCTGAAATACAAAACATCCAACTTAAAACCAGAACTATTCATACTTACAGACAAAGCAAATGAATAAGACAAACAAGCAGTTACAAGAAACGAGCTTTTACTTTGTTCAAAAAAAATAATCACAGGGATATCTCATTTAAATGGGAGAAATACACCAAAACACACAGAGGGGTTTTCCACATTTGGTGAAGGGCTGTCTCCAAACAATACGCTTCTTGCAACAGTGATTTTAAAAAAAAAAAAAGTTCTGATACTCCACACCAGATTTTAGATCTGATAAGCAAGCATGAAGAAGACCGGTATGTCTGAATTCTAAAAATCACAGTTTACCTTTCTCTTTCTTCTTTCCTCATCATCTAGATGCTTTTCTTTTTCCTTCTCAGACTTTTTTTTCTTTTTTTTCTTCTTTTCTTTATGTCGTTCTCGCTCATGATCTGATCTGTCATCATAGTAACTAGAATCATGCCCTGACCCAGAAAGTTCAGTCACTTCACTTCCTCCGACTTTAAGCACCAGCTTTAAAGGTTTTTCCAAAGGCTTATCCACATAATCTAAAGTAAAAAAGTAAAACATCTCACGAATGCACATGGAAGTGATAACAAACAACAATTATTGCTGCGCCTTCTAGAAGTACTAGAACCTGCTGCAGGTTGAAGATACACGCAATACATGTGGGGAGAAAAACAGCAGCCAGGGCTAACAAACCCCTGTTAAGAAACAGCCGTTCAGCACATTTTGCATCATGCTCTTCCACAGACCCGCAGGTGTGGAGTAAGGAACTGCAGTATGGAACTAACTCCTCGCCTTTCCCGGAAAACGCTCCCGAGATCCTTGTCAGAGGAAGGTGAAACCCAAGCACCACCCGACCAAGGGCACAGACCGGCATCCCTCGCCGACAGCCGCAGGAACCACCAAGACCGCTCGGTCTCAAAGCCCACCAACACCACCGCCCGCCCCCGGCCCCTCCGGAGCCGCCTTCGCCCGGCCCCGGC